CCAAGCTTTAAGTAGCCCCGCAGGGCAAAGAAGCTGAGCCACCCAGATGCCTGCAATGTAGATGTGAGTGAATTCCTCAAGTTTTTGAGGTTCCCAAAATGTCTTGAGGCTCCTTTCTTGCTAACTCTCAGGAAAGCAACCTTCGTTCCTTACCTGGAAAGACTGACATTGAATCATGTGACCACGAAAGATACCAGGCTGTTCTCTAAGGTGCTCACATTGGCTTCAAGTCTTCTGGTGACATCCAGAGTCCAGGCATGTCTCTCTCAGGCATGACACTCCAGCAAAAGTCTTGGTTACTAAAACTATCATTGGAAACTGGTCCTATTGAATCCATGCACAGAAACACATTGCTATGACTTATTTATTATGGATTGCCAAATTCTGGAGGGATGAGGTAGGGAGAAAAACATAATTTACTAAATTGTTTTGTTTCCTTGTATCCAAAAAACAAAGCCTCAAATTAGGAATACCTTTAACAAAAGTCACAAAACCTGGATTTTTTTCTTCTCACAAAATGAATTTATATGAGAGACCTTGACTATATTGTGAAAAGCCAATTTATCAAAGCAATTAAAGTATGCATCTTTATTGAAGAAGAATAGTAAATAAACCTGTACATCTGGCTCATGAAGTATACTAGTGGATGGGCCTCCAACCAACCTGAAGAGCAGTCTGGGTGAGGGGCCAAGGCATTATACACTCTCCTGACTGTAGATACCAAAAGTGCTCTGTTGAATATTCTGGTACAGATCAATTCTTAAGATTTCCTGTTTGTTTGTTTTTCATGGTCTTTTCTGAAATCACAAGAGGCACATTTACCTTGCCAAGCTTTGAGACTGAAGGCCTCTGTGCCTAGAGAGTAGAATGGCCTTTCTTCTTCTTTTTTTCGTTCCCCTTTCCCCCTCCCTTTCTATAGGGACGTTTTTGTTGTTGTTTTTAACAATTTGCTTTGTGTCCTTGGCTGGGGAAGATAATGGCTTGTTAGTTACAAGCTGGCTGCAAATTGCCCACACTGTTTGGCTTTGTTTTTAGTTCCATTTAACATTTTTCCTTAAAAACCTTTTATAATTTTCACAAACCTTTTTACAAATTTTAGGAATAACTAGTTTTCAAAATGCATCTCGATGCATCATGCCTTTTATTACCTAAATCATATAATTTCCCATGAATAATTCTTAGAAGCCTCAGTCCTCAATAACCAAGAAAAGCAAACAACCGAGATTCCTTAGATTGACCCTTATGAACATATTTTAGCCGTAACCGGTTTGGCTCAGTGGATAGAGCATCGGCCTGCGGACTGAAGGGCCCCAGGTTTGATGAACATATTTTAAACATACTTATTTCAAACCATATTCCCAACAAGGCAAAAGACATGAGAACAGCTCCAAGTCCGCTTTACAGACTTTTAGATGAAAGCAGATGATCTAGCAATCAAAGCTGTAATGAGTTAATTTGATCTGCAAACGTGGCCAAATTTTTCCCAGAAACCTGTACTTTTGAAGATGTCCCAGACTAGGGTTTTTGATGAGCTACTTGCATTCAAAGGTCCTAGTAACCGCAGGGAAGCACTGTAGAAAGTGCTGACAGGCCTCGAGCACTGCTGTAAACCTGAACCCTGCAGTCTTCCTTCCTCCTGTCTGGTGACCGCATGCCGGTTTAGTGTGCAGAGGTTGAACTTCTGACTGAGCCCCCGAAACTGATAACCAGAATTGTGAGCCAAGGGTTTTTCTCCTGGGGGGCGTGTCTCACGACACCGAAGGATAAGCTCTGAAGACCAGAAGATTTCAGCAAACGTGTGCAAAATGTATTTCAAACAGGTTCAGACTCCCCTCATGGGGGCTGGTGGGTGACAAGGCCGGGGTGGGGGTGTGTGTGTGCGAGTGGTGGTAATAATAAGCTGCCCCATAAAGCCTTGTAGTCCAGGGGTATATATTTGCTACGAGCCTGCTTCCATATCTATCCGTGTTGTCACCCAATTGATTCCCTCAATTGTTCTTGCCCAGCAACTGACCTGAACTTCCCGTTTCTGTGTGTTCTTTCTCGGTTCCTATGCCGAACTTTCTGTTTCTATGTGTTTGTACACGTTGTTGCTGCAGGCCATCTCTTGTTTACTCATGCCTCCTATTTTGAGACCAGAAACAGTTTATTATTTCTGCATGGTTGGTTTCTGTGATTAGGCTTATTCAAACTGCAGTGCCTGCCCCTACCTGTGTTCCCCTGCCTTTGTTTCCCACTAGACCCCTCCCTATCTGCCTGTGTTTCATGTTAAGCCCCTCAGTACTTGCCTGCATTGTTTATTTGTGGTTATTACTAGGCATACAAGCACCAAGAGCCGCCCTAGTGACTTGTCTGAACTCCAGACATGCTTATCCCTGCCACCATCACAGAGACCACTCTATCTTCTTAGAAGCAGTATCAAGTACCACTGTCCATACAACAATCTGCTGTTAAACTCAGGATTTCCTGGCATGTGAGCTCTGAATGACTAGGGGGCAGCCATGGCATTGGGGTAGGTGGAACCTTTCCTGTGTCACTTGGTAGGTTTCCTCCACTGGGAATCAGGTCCTTTAATCTGGCAGATGCTAAAGTTGAGCAAACAGGCAACATAAATTCCCCCAGTGGGAAACATGGAGTGAGAATGAGAGGGTGTGCCGGGGCCTGTGGAACAAGTTCTTTATTGAATGACTTAATTTTCCACATTGCCTGGTGAAGTCCACTTCACTAATTCATTTCAGATTAGAGGATATATTGGAGTTTAATCTGTGCCCCCAGTGTACAGGTTTCTTGCCAAGGTTTGCCCCATCAAACAGGGGAACAGGAGACATGTAGAAACAGCTGGTGAACATACTCTTATGGAAATAAGTTGCATCTCTCTGAGTCAAGTCAACTGCCAACCCTCCTTATTCATATTTTATAGGTTCCTAAGAGCAAGGCTGCTGAGGCAACCAAAGTGGCAATCGATGTAGGTTTCCGTCACATTGATGCAGCATATGTCTATGAAAATGAGGAGGAGGTCGGCAAGGCACTTCGAGAGAAGATTGCGGATGGCACTGTGAAGAGAGAGGACCTATTCTACACCACCAAGGTGCTGTGAGTGAGTGACGAAGGTCCTTGTCAGAACACATAGGTTATTTGGGGGAAAAATACAAAACAAACATCTTTGGACTAGGTTTGAATAATTTCTTTATCTCCTGACATTGTAAAGTCCCATTACAGAAAAAAAAGAGAGAAGAAAGGATTGCTTTGCTTCAGAATGTACTAAGGGTGGGACATAGTTGCTTAGACTCTTGGAACAAGGGTCAGCATTCATATGTAAAACACAAATAAAGACACTTAGCTTCTCCATCTGCTTGTGGATTGACTGAGCCACTGCAGAGTGGATCCACTCCTTTCATTCTTCAGCAAATTCTCTCAGCACATATCCAAGTGGGGTTGACATATTATTCCCAGAGGGAAGCCAGACTAGGAAAGGCTGTTTTCAAGTCATCATTGAATTTACTGAAATTTGTAAAACTTTTCTTAAGTGGAAAACCCTGCTTCCAACACAAAGAGAGCTGAGGTCCCTACAGAATGGTCCTATGTGTGTCCACATCAATGATGATTTGTTTTCAGAATGTGGACCTCTGAGCAGTCCTGCTTCCAGGCATTTCCTATGTAGAGCAGGAGATTCCATTTCCTCTTGCCTGACATTTCTGACTCTCCTTTCAGAAATGATACCTTAACATGTGGAACGTGTGCTGTGGGGCTGTCACTAACCTCTAACCCTGTGTCTGCATGAGCATGTGGTCTCCCAGTCCTGCCACCCCTCTGCAGTCCCCGTGGCCGGGAGGCATGGACACACCACTGCTCCCCAAGCCAGGGCCTGGCCAGCACCCCCCCTTCCCTCACTCCCCTGCCAGGACTGAGGGGCAGTTCCCAGGGCCTGGAGAAAGCCAAATTGCCAAAACTGAAGTCGCCTCCAGCACCATCTGAGAAGCCGGGTGTCCTCATGCCTCTTCCTTCTGCCCCAGTGGGCAGCACCAGACCAGAGTCCACGGCCCCATAGAGCCCTCGGACAAAGCCAGTGGTCGAGCCTTACTTGTCCCACCTGGGCCCGCCGCCTGGATGGCATGCCTGGCCTGTCAGTATTTATTGCCTCCGTATGTGCCATCCTCTGGGCCCGCTGGCCTGCCGCCTCTGCCCCCAGGCTCCATGCCATCATCCCCAGGCCTCCCGGACGCAGTCAGGACAACTGTGGGACCAAGCGTGCACAGTCGGAGCTGTCCCCTGTGCTCCCCTGGCTCCCCAACCTCCACCCCCACCCCCGCTAGGTCAGGCCTGGCTGGAATGCACAGGAGCCTGTCCCTGCTTCTCTTCTGACCAGGAAATGAACTCCCCTAAGGGAAAAAAAAAGTTTCTTAGTTTCTTTCTATAGGAAATTACATGTGGAGATCACAGACCAGGTATAACATTGTTTAATTATTTCAAGCACTAATAAAAAATAAGAAAATTGTTTTATCACATCTGAAAACTAATAGCATTTGAAAGTATTTCAGAAGATGCATGAGAAAATGGCCAATCTGGAAAATATGGTACATATATTAGATATTCATTCAAAGGCTTTTCAAATTTACATGATATTGGTTCATATATTCTGATACCTTCTGGTCTTGGCAATTCACAGGTGGAATGTCACCGTATCTGAAGGTAGTTTTACATATCTAACATTTTTATAACAATGTTTCTAATCCTTGAAACATTTAGGTTGCTTTTCCTAGCCCATGTGCATTTTATTGACAATTTTTTTACAGTCACTCAAATAAATCTCAGTATCCCATTAAAAGCCTCATTTACAGTAACAGAAATTTAGCCCCAGAACTTTCTATTTTGAGACCACCATAGTGGTTGGTTACTCACTGCTCAATCTCCTAACCATGAAATTTAATTTCAGTTCCCAAATGTGTGACATCACAAACCATTTTTTAAAAAAATTTCTTTTTTGGTTATTGCAGCTTTGGTGTACTTTCTTTCGACCAGAATTGGTTCGACCTGCCCTGGAGAGATCACTGAAGAAACTTCAACTGGACTACGTAGATCTATTCATCATTCATGTGCCAATACCTATGAAGGTCAGCTTTTGTTTTCCTTGTTATGCCCAAGAGTATTCCACATCAAAGAGTTGAAGACACTGTCCTCCATGTCTAAGTGATGTGCTCCCCCTTATTGAAGAGAGCCTCAAGAAAGCTGAGGGACAAAGATAGTAGAGACACAATGAAAGTCCACACCTCTTTAGGGGGAGGGTCTCTTGCACATGGATCTCTCAGCCAGTCAAGAAGGAGGCACTGTAGGGTGGTCCATATTGCACATGGGGCTCCTTTGAGTATCACTGGTCCAGCCTCTCATCACAGTGGGCATTTGCTGAGCACATCTGGTATTCTCACTATCTCTGAGTTGGGTTAACATAAATTGGAACTAAAACACATTCTTAACAGTAAAGGGAAATCCCATCATCCAAACAAGCCTGTCCTTGGGAAACAAAATCAATTCTAATGGTAGGGGAACTCATTCTTAGTGGAATTTTGGGAGAATGTGTGGACAGGAAAGTGGAGGTAAATGGGAGAGAATTGCTTTGCTACAGACTCTCAACTAATTTTGATCTTCCTTTCCCCCAATGTCTTCTCTTACATCACACACACACACACACACACACACACACACACACACACACACACACTGCTTAGTAATAACAGCCTCTTGAAGGCTGTGTTACCAAGCTACTGAGGCACGAGGAAGATCATTCTTTAAAAATTCTTTCTCCTCTCCTCTCTGTATTCCAGCCTGGAGAGGAGCTTATGCCTAAAGATGCCAATGGGAAAATTATTTTAGAGACAGTGGACCTGCGTGACACCTGGGAGGTATGTACTGCTAGTGCCACCCAAAGATGGTGGGATAAGGTGGACATCAGTGCATAAGGATCAGAAGAAATGGGTTCTGGCTCCATCCATTGTCTGTCCTCAGACATATCGCCAAACTCCTCTGTAGTTTGGTGTTCTCCTCTGTAAAGCAAGCGAGTTGAACAGGATCACAGCTAAGGTCTACTTTCTTTAAAAAATGTTTTTATTGATTTTTATAGGGGAAGGGAGAGAGATGGAGACATAGAAACATCAATGATCAGAGAATCATTGATTGGCTGCCTCCTGCACACCCCACACTGGGGATTAAGTTGGCAGCCCAGGCATTGCCCTTACCAGGAATCGAACCAGTGACCTCCTGGTTCATAGGTCGATGCTCAACCACTGAGCCACATGGGCACTAAGGTCTTTTTTTAATGTAAACTTCTGTGGTCCTAAGTAGGAGTTTCTTTGCCACACTGATCGGGTTGAGCATGTAAGCTCTAAAAGTGACCTGTTCAGAAGCAAACTCCAGAGGAGTTAGAGCTCTAAACACACCAGAGAGGGGAAAGCTGTTGTCTGCTTAGCAGGAGGAGAAAAAGCCTGCCTTCTACACCCCATTCCATATACTTATTTCATTATTCCAGGAAAGGGGAAGCAGAAAAAACTTTGACTAGTGGAAAACCTAAGAGTTCCTCTTTGCCCTTAACTATGACACCATGTATTACATGCCTAACAACAAATTACACACCATGGAAGAGGCAGGGTGATGAGGGGAGTTTAAAAGCATCTTAATACCTATTTATTGCCCTGGGTGTGCATGTCATAGACTCAAGGACAAAAGCTGTGTGTACATAGCAATAAAGTACACTGGGGGAAAAATATGTCCAAGTGATAAAGCTATTTGGTTCACCCACATTATTATGCATGTTAAGACAGATTTCCAGTCTTTAAAAAGCTCACTGTCAAATGAAAGGGCTGAACTACACTACAGGTTTGCCACACATGACTTTCCTCCCTAGGCTCTGGAGAAGTGTAAGGATGCAGGTTTAACCAGGTCCATTGGGGTGTCCAATTTCAATCACAAACTGCTGGAGATGATCCTGAACAAGCCAGGCCTCAAGTACAAGCCTGTCTGCAACCAGGTGAGTGCATGACCATGGCAACTGTTTTGCTTTCTGCTCTTCACATCCTTTCTTATTTTAAAAAATACGTGTATTTTTATTGATTCCGGAGAGGAAGGGAGAGGGAGAGAAAGATAGAAACACCAATGTTGAGAATCATTGATTGGCTGCCTCATGCACGCCCCCTACTGGGGATTAAGACTGCAACCTAGGCAAGTTCCCTGACTTGGAATTGAACCCTGACCTCCTGGTTCGTAGGTTGACTCACAATCAGTGAGCCACCCTGGCTGGGCCACATCTTCTTTCTTGATTAAGTTTCCCCAAGTTTTTGGCTTGATGCCAACTGCACAGAATTGTTCTTTTTATGACAATAGGGAATTTCAGAGAAGGAACAGGTTAAGTGGATTGGGGAGATCATGACTTCAGTTACTCAGAGGTGGGTTGGAGGTTCCCAGGAGACATCCAAGTAGAGATGCTGAGTTGGTAGGTGGTAGTGTTGGTCTGGAGGTCAGGCAGGGCTAGAGGAGAGGTCCATATTTTGGAACCATTGCTTTATGGGTGGCAATTAAACTCAGAGAAACGTATTCCCTCTCCCAAGGAACTTGAAAGGATGAACAGAAAGAGGGCAGGAAAGTCAACATTTAAAGATTAGGCAAAGAGGCACTGGTGAGGGGATTGAGCAGGAGTTGGCAGGCAGGGAGGAAGAAAATGAGACCATGTGGTATCAGGAAAACCAAGGAAGAGCACTGAAAAGGTTTGCATGAGCCATGAGGTGGATCATGCTGGGAGCAGCCAATCCAACTAGGGATAGAAAAAGTATGGGGTTTTATGAGACAGAGTTCATGGGAAACACAGCAGGAACAGTTACAGAGTGGTAAGGGGAAAAGCCAGAGAGAGAGCAAAGCAGTGGAAAGTGAGGAAGTAGAAAATGTTGTGGAACAATGTTCGCGAGAGTAGGACCACCTACTCCAATTAGGTCTTAAGCAGCCAGCGAGGATTTATTGAAACTGGCCAGTGACTGCCGTAGGCGTTTTCTCCTACGACAGCGTTGAACCTGGTTCTAGGCCAGCCTTTTATACACAGAAACTACAAAAACGGTTGGCTAAACACACACAAAGTTATCTGGGGTACAGACACAAAGTTACCAGGGCTACATTAATCAATACTGTCCCGTTATCAAGGTATTATTAATCAACTTTGGCCCGTTGCTCCAGCTACTAATATAAACTTGCCCCGTACCCTAGACTACCCTCGACCACAGTTGGTTCCATTTCCCCAGTAACTGCCAACATACCTGAGAGGGACATTCAGAGGTTAAGAGGAAGCATTGTGCTAGCCTTGGGAACGGGAGTGTGACCTTCTTCCTCATTCTATGTTAGCCAGTTGCCTTTATTTTATTTTACAAGGGGGGCTTAACTGTAACAGAAAACACATTGAAAGAAATAATTTTTAAAAATAACAATGCTGCCAATGTTCAATCACTATGTTACTATAAAGTTGTATATCCCTTTTTTGAGACAGTTTGAAAATCATGCAAGAAACCAGTCAAATATTTATACTCTTCATTTTACTTAATTACTTCTAGGAATATATTTGTAGAAAATGATTCATCATGTATAAAATATGTCTCTCACTTCAATATGTAATTGTGAATTCATGAATTTCAACAAATACAATTACTTTCTTATTAATGATAGTATTGTCATCATTTTAATCCGAAGATGCCTCTGACAACACTTAGTGTCTTTCCTGTCCTCTTTGTTTTCCAGCATGTCAGCAGGGCTGAATCAACTGGAGATGGCTGAGGGCATTTCCCCAAACCTGAAAAAGATGCATAAATGATTGCTTGCTTGATGCCAGAGAGCTGAGGGCATTTCAATCTACAGGTTATTACCTCCTACTGGCCAAACACTTGAACAGCCTTGGGCAGTTCCTCCAATCTGACAATGCTTACCCTTTGATATGTATATCTACCTTGCTGTAGGACAATTTGTGTTAATAAAAAGCAAGGGGTCCAGAGAGACAGGAGAACTTGGTTCCTTTAGCTAAGCTCCTCTGGCCCCCCAAAATGCCTTCCAAAATTATGTTTCATCTCTGGACTCTTGATTAATTTACACACAGCACTTCTTCAGATTCCTGAACCCTTCTAGGTGTTGAATTAAGACCACCAGCATTAATTTATTTTTGCTAACATTTGCTTATCCCAATGCATTCTTCGGTAATTTTTAAACAAAGCATTAGAGAATCTTTTTGCAGAAGAGCTATATGTGCCATTATCATATTTAAAAATGTGGTTTCTTGTTCAAATCATAAAATACCTAATTTGTTTTGAGGATCCAAAATCTGTAATTTCTAAAAAGCTGCCAGATCCTCTGCTTCTGATTTCAAAGGTGACTGGAGAGGGCAGAGTTGTCAGCTCTCCTGCAAAAAGATTCTCTAATGCTTTGTTTAAAAATTACCAAAGAGCGCGTTGGGATAAGCAAATGTTAGCAAAAATAAATTAATGCCAGTGGTCTTAATCCAG